CAAGGGTCACACTAGCCATCCTGCTGCTGCAGCTTTTCAACAACAGGAACACATGCCTGCTCCTTCGGCATCACTCTCTTGCTCGCCAGCCAAAGATCATTGATAAAGTGACACTGGTACAGCAAGCAAGGGAGCAACACTGTAGAAGCAATTGGATTGCTAGTGTGGTACAGACAAGGGATTCTAGTGGCAAGGTTTCCATACCTCTCTGCAGCTTTTACAAATCCTAGTGGGGGAGGGGGGCTCACTTCCCTTGTTGTACTTTGTATATTAAATAGATGCTTCAGAGAGGAGAATGAGATCCACTTGTGATGACTATGCAAGGAGGAGGGACGTAGGAAACTCAGATTCAGAGATCTAGCCACAAATATTCCCATAAGATATAATAAAATTATGGGTGATTCCACCTGCTGTACAGGACGCCAGGAATGGGTCCTGGATGGACGGTATATCCCTCCCTTGTTTAGGTGGTGGTCCCGTTAGAGCCACCTTGTAGTCAGAGCCTCCATCCCTGACTACAGCCAGTTCTGGTAATGAAAGGGTTAAACCACCAGCCAGAGGGTGTGTTAAAAAGGAAATGGAAGCCAGTCAGTCTGGCTGTGTGGAGTGTTTGGAACAGGACACATGGCTATGTGTGTTAAGCTGTGGAATACAGTCTGCCGAGACACTGCTGGGGCACCTTCCATACTGGAACCCTCTGTGCGCAGGCTGGGACTCTAACCCTGAGGCTGGGACTCTAACCCTGAGGTGGGACTTAGTATACAGGCGCTGAGCCGAAGTCTTGTGTTTGCTGAATATAAGCCATTTACTTTGACTGTTTGCGGAAATGAATACAAGTTTAATGTCTGATACGGCTGGCTACGGGTCATATCCGCCCTGAATATTACACTGCATGCAGCCATCCAAAACTGAAATACCCAGCTAGTGCAAATGCTTGCTTCAGTTTGTGATAGAGATAGACCAGATAAACCTATCCTTGTCCAAGACTGGCCATTATCAGGAAGCGCTGGTGCTAAAGATTTAAACTAATTGACAAGCATTGGCTTTTAAACATTTCTAGCATGCTGTTTCAAGTCTGTTTATGAAGGCTGGGCAAATACAGGCACATTCATCTGTCTGGATATGCCCACATTCACCAACATACCTGTTGCCTGCTAGATGCAAATGAAGGTAACAACGAATCTTAGGCAAATCTGCCATTAATTTGGATTTAGTCAAATGAACTGTGCAGTGCTCCATTAGATTCAAAATTTCACAGAGGTGATTGTTAAAGTGAACTGGCTTTAATAGTGACAACAATAAGGTAACAATAGTGCTAAAGTGCAGACAACAGTCTTCCAAATGATCTCTGTGTTCCCGTGGAACCTAGGACCAGGCTGTGCACAATATTAATTTGAAGAAGTCGGTGGAGCTTAGTACTTAATCAGTGATTGATTAAGAGCATCAAAAGCCTGGTGCTGTCAGTCAGTCAGTCAGCCGGGAAGCAGCAGAGGAGGCTCTCTAATTAGGTGGCTGCTCGCTCCTTGCTGGAGCCCTGTGAGGCTCCAGCAAATGGCCGTCTAATATGATTGATTTCAGCCTTGGCTGCCCGATTGTGTTCAGCCAAGCTGGCCCGGATTGCCATTGGGCATACCAAGGCGATCCGGGCCAGCTGGGCCTATTTTCAGTGGTGGGCCTGGAGCTGCCACTATAGTAGCCCCTATATTAATCTGGCCCTGTACCTAATATGAACTTGGAGAGAATGCGGCTAAGTACTTAAAGCAGACATAAAAGAGAATGCAAGGTCTAATCATTAGATCAGGGCCCCCCTCCTCTCTAAATCGCTATATAATAGTAGTAACGAAATGTACCTGTGGGGAAAAAGATAGAATAACTACCTAACCACTATCTTCAGCACTGCAGGGGGTGTCATCACTTTTCTTGGTGAGATTCTTGGGACAATGAGCATGCCAAATCTTGCAAGAGATTAAGGATCCTCATTATTGCCAGAATGATTGTGACATCACCCTCACCTAGATGCAGCAGGCACAATCTGGGGATAAGGTAAGTATATAGACCAATTTTTTCCACATAGGTATATCTTGGTTCTACTCTCGTATAGTGATTTAGAAACGGGGCTCTGAGCCAATGAGAGGACCTTGCATTCAAAGTCTGCTTTAATGTCAATTTGGGGAGAAAGTGGTGCTGCCCAACAAACAATATTAACTTGGAGAGAAGGTGATGGGGCTCAATACATATAATCTTGCAGAAAAGCTGGCGGGGCTCAGAAAATAATATCAACTTGAAGAGAAATTGATGGAGCTCAGTGCTTAAGCAGGGTTTAATAGTGATGGAAACTGAGGCCCTGTGCAGCCTGGGCCGAGCATCCAAAGGGGCTCCACGGGGATCTATTTAAAGTTCAACCCAGGTAAGGCACATCAGCATTATTATGAGCACTTTTTTAGGTCAGGTCAGGTTCACTAAAACAGAATCTTTGTCACAAATGGAACAATCACAGCTTTATATGTGAATAATGGCAGTAAATGTGCTTTATAAATCAGTAAAAATATGGCAAATCATGCGTCCATTTAACTATAAATAGACCACCATAAGTGTTCTATATTAAGCTTTGTTCTTGAGCCAATCATTTTTTTTTTTTTCCTTTGCATACATAGGAAAAAAAATTGCCCGAGTGGGAGAAAAAGTTATTGTGGCCAAATCTATTGCAGATGGGCTGCCTGCAGCCAAAGAAAAGGACAGCTCAGGTACTCTGATTTGTACAGCAAGTCTGGCAGCAACAAGAACTCTGAAAGCAAACGGAGAGCACTGAACCTCTGCTGATAGTGGTGACTGTTTAAGCCACATCAGCTGTACATACAGGTTTATTCAATGCCCTAAGCTTACAATAAAATACTTTCATCTGAGGAGAAGTCATAATTTGCAGTAGCTGGTGACGCTGAGCTGTAGGGCCCAAGGATCTCCTGCTCTAAATGTAGGCACAATTACTTGGATTAGTTAGCAATCAATTACAACTCAGATACTGTGTTATGGTGCAGATACAAATTTAAAAACAGTTCAAGGAAACAAAATCACAAAAACCAATTTACAGTTACTTTTCTTCTGAAGAATATTAAAAACCGGAACAAAACATATATACGTATATTTATAACAAACCATTTCACATCTCAAGAACAAAACAATATCAAAAGCTGTTCAAAACTAGTTTGACTGTAAGAAAAAGTGCTAAATCCTCAGTATTTGTGTAGCAGGTAAGATACATCCAGCAAAAAGTGTCTCTTTACATTGCCTTCAGCATTTGTTTTTACAGGGGCTGACCACAAATTTTAGATTCTGACTCAAAAGTCTTACACAATTAAGGAAAAGTAATGGAAATAAATACTGCAGTGTATTTGATCACATTGTATATGGTTACAGTAAAAGCCCAACTCTAGGAAAAAAAACAAAAATTTTTTTTTTTTTTACAGTGGGAGATAGTTATAACCTCTGTAGGTTTATATAGCTGTCAGCATCCCTGTTGGGGAGATTTCCCCTCGCTTCCTGTTCCATTGCCAGGGACAGGAAGTGATAGAAAATATCTCCAATGGAAACAGAAAAAAACTTTGTTTAGTATAAATGGGGTTAGAATTGTTGTGACCTTCTAACGGGCCCACACCTATAGCTAAAAAAAGTTTTGGTTGGAGCCGTGCTGTAATGACAGTATCTTCATCTAAGTTACTCATCTGAAAATCTCATAAAATAATCATAAATAATTAGCATTTTCAAATAAATGCAGATAAGGCAAGAAAATCAAAAGAAGATATCTAATAATTTTGGTTGACAGGTGGCATATTACATGTTTGCACACAGACTGATGGAAATGTGGTTAAAAAAAAAAAGAAGACCAGCTGCCCATATGCAGAAGTCTAACAAGAACAGAACAATACCACACTGTATGTTTTTATTAATTCTATAATTATGACCTATACATTTGTGTAAAAATTAGCCCAATGTGATCAATGGAAAAATAATGGAATAGTTTTTCCAAATGTGCTGAAGATGTCACAAATCACAAACGAAATCCATTAGGGTTAAACAAAGTTTCTGGGTCAGGATATAGAATCTGAGAAGGATATTTTTTATCCATAATATATCTAAAGTATGCATATAAATAGCAAAGAAAAAAAATACTATAGTTTTCTTAATTTTACAAAATAAAAGTACTTTTGGATTTAACATTACTCATATCTTTTCATGTAAAACAACAATCTCTTTATATGTTTTCTAAAATCATCAGGGTTAGATGCCTGAGACTAAAAGTGCACTCAGTGTTTACAATTTTGGAATTTCCAGGAGTGATTTGTTCAAGACAAACATGAGCAAAAACTTCTAAGAATGTTTTTTTTTGCATCTGTTTATATCATTTGTGGCGAAAACTGCATGTCAACGCAAATTGTACAAATGAGCTAAATTACTCCTAAAGGGCTACATAGCAATACCATGTATATTCCCTAGCTTTCCGATCAAGTTAGGATCATTTGAAAGAGATGAATAGGGACTCTTTTTTTCATTCATTAAATAGCAAAGCAAGCTTATATTGATAACTAGCTTACATTAGAATTTTAAATATTTTTTATTAAGGCTTTTCCTGCTTTTATTACTCCCTGTTTTGTATTCGTACTTCACTAACAGAATATCTAGGGACTACGTATGACAACAGATTCAACAAGAAACTTTGCCTGTTGAAAAAATGAATACAAAAATGAATACTTTAAGAATAATATTTTTCAAATATAATAACGGTGTTGTTTCATATTCATTCATTTATGACAGCTCAATTCAAGCACTAAACTCTCGCTAACATCCCTTAATATTTACAAGGATACTGTATAAAGTATGCCATGCTGACATTTTAAAAATAGGAATGTGTGGATAGGACCACAGAATTCAGCCTCGCTTGGTTGAAAAATATTTTTTTGATCAGAGGACTTTGTTTTTTTGAAAAATATTCCTTAAAAGGACAAAACAAGGCAAAGAAACAACCTGGCTGGATTATCTTTGTGTGTATTTCTCCTTTTCTAAAGGAGATAAATTCACATGTCTATGAGACACATGATTCAAATAATTTGGCATGTATTGTATCTGCAGTTCAACCGATACTAAAGTCCAACTACTGAACTTATGTTATTATACATCTTTTTGCTGCTTTAAATGTCATGTCTAAAGCTCTGGATGCAAAAACCTATCCTTCATTCAGAATAAAACATCTTCATTTTGTATTAGGAGCTGCACAACTTGTTTTTGATGTCGCATGTCATTTAAGGAAATTAGGGCGTTTTCCTCTGGAGGTCTCATCAATGTCGGTCCGAAGACAATACCAAGGTTTTCTGCCCCCATAAGATTGTCCTTCTCGTTCTGTGTAACACTGAAATAAAATAAAACATCGCAATCAATATTACATAATACCGATCCATTTATGTCTAGCCAAATATATATTTTTATTAAGGGTAGATTGGGGGAAGGATTAGAATCACTGTCCATGTTTTAACTTCTATCTGCAGCTAGCTTAGGCTTGCTGGTTATTATCGAATTCAATTGATAAATAGCATATTACAAATCATTTTTTTCTCACTTTTTAAGGTGGATCATTAGGTATCTCAGCGTCTCAAAATGTGCAGGTGGGAGGAGCATCAATGATTCATGTACAGCTTCTAATCTCTCATCTGGATTGGATATTTCTAAAAAAAAAGAAAAAAGAACATGACATTAGATTGATTCAATGCTCATGGTGGTCTCATAGTTCAGCCATTTGGTGTTCAGGCAATACAAAGCACCTAGTAATCCAAAGGAAGTTACACACATTATGCCATTGATAAGATCTCACATCAGAGTCATGTATACTGTACAAAACAGCTGCCACTGAGTGGTCATGGATATGTTGCAACTATTTTATATAACAATTCCTCTTTAATATTGGGATTTGTTGGGGAAAATATGAAGCCCACTACTTTATATTAGGGGTCATTCCTCTCGTAACTGCTATTTCTGCTTCTGATAGAAGCTTGATGATTAAGACCCCATTCACATGGGACCTATCGCATAAGTCTCATGAATTACAGTTTGCATCGAGGTGTGATCATCTATAGGAAACTGCAGCGATTACATAGGAACAGCCTGCAAGCAGCTGCCACCACGGTCACATCACTGTATTGTACAGTACATCCCGTCTGCAGGAGATCACGAGTTGAATTTGTGACACTCGTGCGATAGGTCCTATTCACACTTGCAAATGGAGCCGAAGATGTGTGTCTGGGCAAAATAAAAACCACTTATGCAATACAAGCACATTTCCGCAGGCATCTCTTTAAAAATGCTACAAGCACAGGAAAACACCTGTTGAGGCTACTGGAAATCCAGTATGTTACTAACTGCCTATGTTGATAAAGGGGGATGGTTCTGTAGTCCAGGAGAAGAGAACTGAAGCCCAACTTGTCAGCTGATAACTTCATGTGCACTCTACCTCTGCTGATTGTTATCAGTTACATTCTTCTCAACTATCTCTGAGGACTACAAACCCACAGCACTTTATGTTCTGGAGAAAAGGAGAGGGGGGGGGGTGTCTGTAGTCCTGTCCTGTTTTTGTTATCCTGTTACAGTAGGTTTAGTGAGCATTGTCACTCTAGGCCAGAAGGTGTGTGTTACTGGCAAGGAATAAAGGGGAAATAAAAAGGACAATTAATGCAGCCACCACATCTAAGGACTGGTAAGCTAAAATATATACATTTTTGTTTTTAGGTTTAGATACACTTCTGTTTTCAGGCAGTAGGAGTCAAGATTAGGGCCGGATCTACTCTCTCTGCTGCTGCAATGCTTGGCTCCTCAATGCGCCCCCTCCCCACCATAGCCCCCCCCACTTAATGGAGAATGACAAACAGATGGCGGGGGCGGCAGGGTTAGTTTACATTTTTTTTCTTTATTTTTTTTACTTTTTGTTTTTACATTTTCAAATATTTATTTATCTTATTATTTTTAACTTTTTGACTTGCAGGGCTAAATGTAGAAAAAACTACCCACCCGGTGCCCGGAACTGAATGTCCCGAGTATGGGCAATAGGAATTTCACACCCCTGCTGCCCCTCTACTCTCTGCTGCACTGAGGTCAGGCCTTGGTGGCCTTGTGGGAAATCCGGCCCTGGTGACAATATTGTCCCACTCTCCATGATGTATTTTCAGTGTTAATAAAAGTTATGGCCAACCAGGCATCCTCTGTAGCTAAAATATGACACTTTAAAGCTGAACTCCAGGCCAAATATATTGGTAAGCAGTGAATGTTTTTTATGCCAATATAATGCATAAATGTAAAACAAAGAATTGTTTGAATTTGTCTGACTTTTTTGAATGGTCTGTTTTTCTAAAATGGTAATACAAATAAAACTGCATTAATAAGCCCCAGACACTTTCTAAAATAAAGAGAAATGTTTTTATGGTCAATATAAAATGATTAAATGATGCACCGAATGCCTGCAGGACTTGTTAAGACATATGCTAGAAATAATGAAGTAAGTTTGGACTGTGACTAAAGATTATGGTGTGCACTTTATAAATAATGGCAAAATAAAGCGTAAGGAGTCATAATGCCCTTAACGGAAGATATAATAAAACTGTCATGCAGAAAAATAATAACTGCACTCTTATCTGTTCATTGAACTTTGAAAAGGATAATTACATGGCAAGGTCACAGCGAGCTTTGATGAGTAAAAGTGCCATAATGTTTTCTCTAGAAATTCTGTGCAATTACAGCTTACAAATGTAAACGGACAACATGCACATTGATTTGGGTGGTAAACAAGATAACTATTTATGTATTCACCCACAGATCACATGAGCTATGTTAAACAAATTAAGACCTCCTTGATTATATTACACACATTACAACATGGCTCCTCCACAGCCACCCACAACTACATGGCTAAATGTACAACTGATCTTGGTTCCTTGGAACCGGACATGTGGTCCCAGATATAAGAACACTGTCAAGGATTTGTCTCAGAACTTGGGTACTTTAGAAACCAATTACAAGGTGCTAATTCCTTGGTATTATGTCCCCACAAAAATGACACGCATGATACCTGGGTGCTCTCACAATATCGTTAGGGTTTTCCTGAGCTGGGTACATTTGCAAACATAGTGGTTGTGCCCGGTAGCCCAAACCTTATGGAGGAAAGTCTAGGCAATGCTCCGTACTCTGTTATGAGTGTCTTTATTTATGAACTCAAGGGTGGCACATTTTGGCTTCAAACCAAAAGGCCTTCCTATTCGCCAATTTATCTTGATGATACACATTCTAACAAATAGACTTTTGCAAAATCATGGCTTTCTGACTCCCTACCTTCAGCCAAAGTTAAATATATATTCCATTGGCCATTTCCAATGAGAAGCTGTCGGCTAAGCTATTTGATACTATGTTCACAATCAAAAAGGTATAGGATCCCTGGATTGCATGATTGACATGTGCACACAGACATACAAATATATAGGTTGAACTGGAAGGACATGTGTCTTTATTCAACCTTATGAACTATGTAACTATTTATTACATAGTTTGTTGGATATTTAAGGGCCACGAGCGCCACTAGCTGTTTGTCATAAGATCTGGCTCACAACCCTGCGGTGCCTACACCACCACCTCTTCTTCCCCCATCTCTCCCTATACCTCCCTGCATTCCCTACCCCCACCTTTTCTTCTGCAATTTACCATTGCATGCTGGGTGTTGCCTTATAAGCCCTGGTCGCTGTAGGAGATGATGTACATGCATGTGCTCTAACAATTGCTTATCTATGAGGACTTTGTACACCTGATTTTATCACTGTGACCCTATTTCTCGAATGCTATATTTGACATTTGATACTTGAAAACTTAATAAAAATATCGAGCAAGCAAAAACTTAAGATCGTGTATCACAATGCAATGTTCTTCTATCTCTCCCTCAGTGTCTCATCAAAGCATCAATTGAGGGTAACTACACACTCCTTCTGGCGAGATCCCAGGGAATGCAGAGTAGCCCAGATTTCACAAGAAGACATTTATATACTGTGTTTATTGTTGTGCGCGATTTGGACTAATACGCATTCCTCAATATGTCATCGGAAGGATAGTGACATCACCTCCTGCAGTATGGAAGCCAAAAAGTATATTTATCAAAGTTTTTCTCCTACACGTTTTTTGTTTTGTTTACCTAATTAATGATGGGGGAAGAGAGCCTAGTTTTTATGCGGAACTTGCAGTTTAGATACAGAGGGGAGATGTATTATAACCTCTGTTAAGGTTTTGATTGTTGTCTGATGTGAAATACGAACTGTCATCAGAGCAGGCGGTTAAATTAATATTTTGCAATGGGGACACCTGTTGTGGTATCTTAAGAGGGGATTCCACCTCATTTAGAGATCTTGGGGGTGATTTACTAACCTAAACACACGCATGCACCAGGTGGGTGTGATTTTCACACAGCAACACGTATTTATCAACCAAAAAGTCTCTACAAGCATATTTCCACTAATGCCATATATGGAAAAATCATGCACATGATGCATATATAATGCTGCTTCACAGTTTAGACAAAAATGGTTAGCTCATGCATTTACATTCCTGCATTCATCAACGCAAGCAACACAATGTAGAGCTAATTTACACAACATCACCTTGCAATTCATGCTTGGCTTTGCACAACACACCTGCTGGGTGTGTACACACTACAAAGGTGTTTAGATTCCACCCATTGATCATGCTGGGAGGGAACACACTACAGAGGTGTATACATGTTCGCGGTGTGTTTATAAGGTTATTAAATTAACCCCGTTGTCTCACTTCCTGTTGTGTCTCTGAGACAGGAAAGGACCGTAAAATACCAAATAGGACACACACAAAAAAAACATCCCTTTTTTTTTTGGCATTGGACATATTTAATTGCTTGGTATTGCAATTAGATGATTCAAGTTATTTATGATTGGCTGGACAGCAACATAAGTTTATAAATGAGTGCATAGAGAAACTAGTTGCAGTAGATGCCTACATGATCCTAATTGAAGCTGCTGTTCAGTCATACCAAAATATATATTTTTTAAAGTAACCACTCACCCTTTTAGTTAGAATTGAACAGGAAATGCTGCCCGACAACTGTTATAGTGGCAGCATTTGTGTTGAAAAGACTGGTCACCCAAGCCTCTTAGATGTGCACTGGGTGTCCAGTCTGTTCAACACCTTCCAGTTCTGCAGCATAAAAACATAATATGTAAGTAGCATATGATGGAGCTAGATCAGTGTCCACAGTGAGTGCATGGTCTGTGTACAATCAGCTTTAGATGCCTTTGCTACAGAACGCAATCTATCAGTGAACTTCTGTACCTTTATCAAAAGTTTAGCTGAACTCATCCTCTATTCCACATGGAACCAGTAGTGATTACAGAGCAGATCAAAGAGCATAAAGCTTACCTGCCTAGATAATTCACTATGCTATCAGCTTTTTCAAACTACTAAGTTCCGTACTTTAGCACAGTCATACACATCACACTGAGCACAATAAAAAAAAGTCCAAGAGATGATAAACTTACTTGCTGCTTCAATAAATTTTGAATATGCATCATAAGTGATTACTGGAATAGGTAAGTCCCGGAAATAGAGTTTCAGAGCACCTGTAATGATGTTAATATCTGGATAGGTAGTATTGGAAATGTCCGCCTTGTCGCCATCTGCAAAACAAAGATATCTTATTGCGATACTGCCCATTATAAGCAACAAAAGAGTTTCACTCCAAATGAATACGAATCAAACACATCCTATTCTTTATTCTGTGATTTATTGGGTGGACACACTATAGTAGGACATCCCTGCATGGCCCATCATCACTAGGTATTATTTTAATAAAGGTTTAATTTTAACAACTTAAAGGTAATATGAGGTTTTAGTTGTTGAGTTTGCAAACATTTTTATTGCTGAAACCTACTAATTTCAGATGGTTTTAGCTGAGAGTATTTGTTATTGTTTCCAGTGCAGTCTGCCTATAGAAAAAAAAAGCTGGGAAATACATTGGTGGCAGTGTTGATACAGCAGTAACACAGAAATATGTAGAGTGCCATAAAGAGAAATAGCAGCATACCTCACCACCAAGAACAGAAGTGAAAATCAGTGTGAGGAAATCATTTTCTAAAAATATACATGCCTTAAGTCAATGGAATGTCAACTGGAGAAACAGAACAGGACAGGGTTTCCCTTGTTATAGTTTTCAGTTCACTACCTACAAACTATCATAATTTTTCTAGACTGCCCAAGATTTCAGGCCAACATGACACACTGCGGTTTGTTTATAAAAATGGGAAAGAAACATGGTGGCTACTCCTCACTTGACGACCTACCTATTAAAGACCACTTTCGGACTTACAACCAGCTTTTCAGTATTTCTACATTGTACGATAACTTGGGTCAAGCTTATCTTGCATCACCCTTACTCAGTTTTGTTCCCGCAGTTGGTCAGTATTCACTACTGTACATTAGTATTTGCAAACCTAATAATGTACTGTATATTAGGGACGATTTCCTCTATTCCTCCCTTAGTGACCAATTCGCTTAGCAAACTAGTCGTAGGAACGGAACTTGGCCGTCAAGCGAGGAGTGTCTGTAGTCTGTTTCAAGCAGTCTTTTTCTTAATGCAGGTTATAATGTGAAACTAGACACTTTATTGATACACAAGTGTTTCTCTTAGATAAAAGAAATCTGCCCCTTTAAGTTTTCTAAACGCCAAACAAAATAATTGGTAGGTTCTGCCAAGTATATTCCTTTATGAATCATCTCCAAGGGGCAGGCAAAATCAATCAGCTGCTAATGATGTCCAGAATACAACCTCATGTTATTACATTCAGAGACTGCACTCAATTTCCTTTTCAAACTCTGTTTTATTTAATGCCATGTAGCCAGATTAACTACACTTCTTGCATTGCTTTTCCTGCACTTCAGCTTCTTGCCACATATCTCGGTGCTGTGCCCTCTCATGCTTGGGGTTGTGTGAGCAAGACTGCAGCAGGCTCATGAAGAGACGGAGGTAGGAATAGAGGGGCAATGCAGATTAAGCTGGAAATAAATATTCTAATATCAACCTGATCCCATGGTCCTGCACAAAATTCAGGTAAGTAAGGGGCTGTTTAGGGGTATCCCTGGGGGAAACGTTTGGCTCTGAAATCAGAAGCTCTATTATCACACATGAGGAGTTTCTATCAACCTGCAAAATCTACATGTATGTAGCCAAACCACATGTGTCCATTTACTAATTTGTGCAGGAAACAGCAGTTGGTTCCTGTCTGTTGCTCTCTTGGAGCTATATGCTCATCTACAGCCAGTAAAACACTTTGAAGCACTTCAGAAAAGAAGTGTGCCTAGTAAGGCTAATATGTGCCCAGTGAGTGTCCGAACAGTATAGTCCTGGCAGTGGTAGCCTGGTAGGTGGAATTGGCTCCCACTGCTGTAGCAAGAGCTCTGTATTATGTCTCAACAGCGACAGTAATGATGTTTCTCATTATTTGCTATGCTTTCATCTGCACTCCCCAATAAACAATTAAAATCATTTTAGGAACAAAAAAAACAGCAGCTGCACCCATCAGGACATTAAACTGCTCCTTTGTTCTGTGAAAGTCACTTCTCAATGAATTGTCAACAGGGGATCAGTGAAAACCATTCACACAAATGGGCCGGACTGTCTGATCCAAAACATGCTGCACCTGTTTCTCATGCCCTGACCATGTGACTGCCCAGCCCCTGGATCACTTCATAACCTATTCACTGGCAAAGAAGCACAAATATAATAGCTATTAAATACATGGAAGCTGACTGTGGCTGAGCAGATTACAACCAAAATTAAATACATGGAAGCTGACTGTGGCTGAGCAGATTACAACCAAAAACGTATGCTGTAAGGAAATCTTAGCAAAGATGCCCCTTTGTGCAGTAAGGAACATGACTGATAGATGACATGAAACTGAGGCAGAGGCTTTACCATGCCTATTGGCTTTATGTATGTATATCATTATTGTGCATTTATCATAATTGCAGTGGGCTGATCATTACTTGCTTGTGAACTGAATCTGAATATTAAATATCTATACTACTCACTGACCTGCCCTTTAAGCATGGTGCCCTGCACTTATAGCATGGTGCCAAGTCATCACTTCAGCGTCATGATCTGTATTATCCAGGGCCATCTACAACTAGGAGAAGACCTAAGAGAACCCAGCACATTACATGACTGGCCAGAAGACATTAGAAAAGGGCAAATTAAAGTAGAACTGAAGCAAAAACATTTTTAGTTTTGGATAGAGTAGGGGGGGGGGGCCTGGTTATAACCCCTGTCAGCTTTTTTGGCATCGGTTTCCTGTTGGGAAGCTTTCCCTTCACGAAGAGCGTGAAATCCCTGGGGGTCAGCAGGGCACCAGAACTAGTGTCCCCATTTGAAGATTTCCCATCTATCCCATCTATTCCTGTTCTGATGACAACCCAAAATTTTGGATTTTCTTTCACTTTTACTGCTAATGGTCACCTTGACACAAAGAGAGAGTGGATCTCCCTAATGAAGTCACAGACAGCAATTGAAACCTGACAGGTGTTCCTTACCACTCTATCCAAAACTAAAGAAAAAGCTTGGCTCGAGTTGCACTTTAAAGAAAAACATAACATACAGCAAATAACAAAATGAACAGTCCTACGGGCACTGGGGACAGTATTTATAAGAGTCTCCTCCCTACCATTTACCATAGACTGGTATTCACTCAAAGCAAATGGTACATTTTAGGGATATTCAGATACCAAGTACCATACTTGGTACCAATACAAATACAGATACTTTTCCAGCTCCAAGACTAGACTAGAAAAAAATTCAACAGTTAGGAGGCAGCTGTCATTTTTTCATTTTTACGGAGCATACAGGGCAATTTTTGTTTATTGTCCTGTGACAGTTTTTCTAAAACAATACGGAGTAATGATTTCAGGACAATGGTGGAGCACCAGAGCTAGTTCTCGTGCCAAGTATCGGCACTATTATGCGAGCTGGTATCTGAACATCTCTAGTAAATTTGCATGTGCCATTACTAAGTTTCGCATACATTCGTATGTGAAAACAAATCACATAGAAATGATAACTCATGGGAGCATTAAGAAGCAAACTCATGCAAAATAAAATAAAGAAATGAGTGGAAGTCTTTAATTTAATAAACTTTCCTGAATGAAGCCCGCTATTTCATTCCAGAGTCCCTGTTTTTCCTAAATATTTCATTTATAGTTTGCTTCATTTAAATATTTTATTCAGTGTGTCTATGAGAGTATGAAATATTCTTGTCTTCTCCACATCAAGTGAAGTACATTTTGTGATGTCATATGCGTAGTAGAACATTTTTTGTTTTTGTTTTCCCCTCCTCTAGGTTAATAATGACAGTAACATAATGAGAATTTTCTTTTCTAAAAGGAAGGACTCCTTGGGAAACCTAAAACCGTTTTCCAAACAAGCGTCAACATAAATATTTTATAGAGTCACCTTATTGGTACCAAGGGGATTGATTACAAATATCAAAATGCATTTGTAAAGATTTCCACTCCATTGAACAAAACGGTTTGCCCTTTGTAAAGTTGAAACTGAATCCAAATTCTCTTTACCAAGAATACCATTCACTTCCTCCATAGAGGATAAATATTATCATTTAATATGTAGGTTTTTTTGAGTAAACTGAAAACTTGTAAAAATGACATTAAAGCAGTTAAACAACATTATCCATTGTACAAAACAAGATTCACAGCATTTAACTGGCTCATCATTTATTTTACTGGGTTTAAATGGGACCTTTAAATTGCAGTAGAAGCACAATTTTACTTTTGTGGGTTGTCTCACAGAATAGAAAATATTGTTTAAAGTGACTCTGTCAGGGGGCTAAGAAAAGACAAAAAGCAAGCACTGTCAAGAAGCAGCTTTTTGCTGACCTGTATGGCAGCCCGTTTGCTGAAACTTTGCACTATTACAGATCCCTGTGAACCACTGGTACTACCTCTGGTGTTCCTAATAGCATGTTTCTGCTGGCTGCTGTGGTTCCTCCTGCCATGCCCTAGTCAGCAAGACACTGTAGTGATGTAGGGGTCAGTGGAAAGAACAATAGTGACCAGTGGGGAACATGCTATTCCATACCCCAGTAAGTACTGGATAGCATCGGTGCACAGCGCTCCGTAAGTGAGCGTAGTTTCAGCAAACTGGCTATTGGGAAGCAATTATAAACCTGCTTCTCAACAGAATTGCTTTTTACATTTTTAACCCCCTAACATGGTCATTTTACTGTAGTCATGAGAGAAATACATGGGTTAACATTGCTGGCTTTGCTCTGAAGATGCCAGTTGCCTGACTGTGCCTAGCTTCAATGCTGCTGAGTTACAGGCCCAGTGCAAGGCCGTAGCCGGAAGTTCGAGCTCTATTGTGCATGCGCGAGTTCCAGCCTTCCGGGTTGCCAGAAAACGTATGCTACTGCGCACGTGCTCACAGCGGAAAGTGGCACACAAGAAGTGACACGATGGTCTCTAATCTAATGCTCTATTTAACCCCTTCGTGACTGACGATGTACAGTGTACGTCGCCAGTATCGGGGCTGTTTAAACAGACTCCCGGCGGCTATTTCCGCCGGGACTCTGTTTAAACTTGTAAAGCCGACTGTCGGCTTTACAACAGCAGCCAGGATGGATCCCGACAATATTGTTGGGATTTACCCCGCTATCTGATTGACAGCCGGCTCTATAGAGGCAGAGCCAGGTATGCCCGTCCCCTCCCCCATCTGTCCCTCCAGTCAGCGATGGAGGAACAGAGAGGGGAGGGGGGAATCCCTGTGGAGAGCGGTGACTGACAGTCACTACATTCTGCAGGGAGAAGGTTGTGACTTGAGTGAACATCCGTTTGTGATCGCTCAGTTCTTGATCAATAGAGGCGACGTGTGACACTGCAGCTGTCACACGTCGACTCTAACTACTGGGATGAGTGTATTTCACTCATCCCATATTTCTCCTTTAAGCATGCAGCCCAAAAAATTGCAGAACAAACTGAATTCCTTATTTTTATATTTGTTCAGGGTGACGGACTCAGAAAGCATTTGAAACAAAATAGATATTTTACTAAAAATACATTACAACAACCTTGACCAGTAAGCATGGCCAAAGAAACTTAATCAAACTGCATGTGTAATACACCCTGTCCTTCTGCCCTGCTGCCCTCTGCTGGCAAATCCTGGCTGTCAAAATGACAGCTAGTAGTTACTGTGTAAATACAACAATTGTAATAGTTGTTGCTGTAAAATTGACTTTCTGACACAGTGTTAATGAAAATGTGTTAAATAAATAAAAACTATACAAAAGTGTTAACAAACACTGTTCAGATGTACGATAGAGAGATAACAAGTAACATTGTTACTTTTGTTTCTACTTTATTTCATTCATCTGCAGATCAAACAAGCTTTGATCTACAAATGATGCCAATTAAAGCAACGCGATGAGAAGATACAAAGTCACCCGCACTCTAAAGAAATATGTTCATATATTTATTGTTAAGACTTTGTCACACAGTCATAAAAATGTATCCTGTCATCTGGATTTGGCATGGCACCAACCATGGCTATCACTTTGAGCACCCACCAATTATTTAAAGGTCAAGTACTATAAAAGGGAGTGCAGCTTTTATTTTGGGCTTTATAAAGTTAAAGCAATCTGACAAGTAAAAAAAACAAAACTATTTCTTTTTAACCCTTAATTTACCCTAAGCAGGCCTAAACAACTCCTTCATCCACTTCTCCCCTTAACTATTATTTCCCTGCTGATTTTTAAAAAATGTCTACTTTTATAACTAATAATATATTTGTTTCCTTATTCTTAAGGGTCCATTCACACTAGCCACTGTGCAAATCAATAGCTGGTGTGCTTTTCCCAGCACGGTGCTGATTCTCTGATCCTTGCACATCACATTGTTTCCTTTAAATGAATTTAATTTTTAATGTTTCATTTTAAGTGATGTTAAATCACTGCTCCTTTAAAAATTGTATTTTTTAAAAGTGTTTTTTTATTGATACATGTCCCCCAGGGCAGTACCCAGATCCCCATACACTTTTTATGGCCAATAAATTGCATATAAGGCTTCAAAATGGGGACATTTAAATTTCTGAGTTCTACCCCCATAGACTTGCATTGAGTTCTAAGTTCGAGTTAGAACTTTTTCCATGTTCGAAAGTTCGAGTTAGAACCGAACACGGGGGTGTTCGGCTCATCACTAGTCACAAGTGACATTTCATTAAGTTTTATGGGCAAATTGCCTTGTCTTGTGTTGGGACTGTTCTTCAAAACACGGCCAGTGCAGCCCCAATGTATGTGGTGTGAATAGGCTTAAAGTGTCACATTAAAAATGTTAAACTAGAAAAGAGAAAATATAGAATAAAATGTATACATTTAATGTACAGTAGCAATTATTTTTTTTTAAACAAACACTGATCAAAAGTAGAATTTTCTTTTATTTTTTTATTTTTTGTTACTTTTTTTGTGTATGGATTGTGTATGGAAAAAAAAGATACATTTTCTTAGACAATATGACCAAAGTCTTGTTTGACCTGAAAAAAGTATTACTTTGTTATCTTAAGTAATAAAAAAAGGTAATTGCCTAATAACAGTCAAAACAAATTTTCATAGCAGAAATGTAAACATTTCTCTGGTCCATGGGGTGTACATGTGTGACAGCTGAAGTGGTTAATAAACCCAGAATGGTTCTAGCAAGTAAAATCTTTACTACTGGCCCTGTAGCAACTACACAAGGGCAGCTTGTTATAAGCAGACAGATTCCCCTCATAAAACACAGCTGCATGTAGCTTACTGTTTTTCACTGAAAAATAACACTTAAAAAACTAGCAGAACTGTCATAATATTCAATGAACCCAAACCAAGCTACTGCTACATTAAAGTATATCTCGAGTCAAAACTTTTTGTTTTTTAGTTTTGGATAGAGTGGTGAGAGGTTAGTCAGTTCAGGTTTATATTACTGCTGGTTGTCCATGTTAGAGCGGTTGACACTCTCTTTGTGTCCTGGTTACAACTATCAGTGGGACTGAAAGTGAGGACAAAAACAAAACCCTGAGTTATCACCACAAGAGAAATAGGGAGGAAGCCTTTCAATGGGACACTTGTGATAAAATAACAGTCTAACAAGACATTTCCCTCTTTTGTGTCTACAGGACAAGAAGAGAACTCTACCCAGTGAGAGAGAAATGGCAGAAAGGAGAAATTCTGATAGGGTTTTTAACTATTCCATATTCTACTCAATATTAAAGCAAAATGTTTTGGCTTTAGACACTTTAAAGTGGAATTCCAGCATAAACCTTTACTTTAAGTTTTGGATAGGGTTTCGGAGGGGTAGAATCTTCGTCAGGTTTTTATTGATCTCTGTGCTCTGTTGTAGATTTTGTCTATCCTGGTGACTACCCTGGAAGTGAGAAAATCTTAACAACAGAGATATAGACATGATTATAGACCTAACAGAGGTGCTAACCAGTGGTAGATATTGTCAGCAGCCTGAGCGAGAACAATTTATGGGCCCTCCCCTATTCAATTACATGCACAAGTACAAACATGTAATCTCTGTGCATAGAGGTGCAATATGAACTTTATGATGACATGAACTAACTGTGGTCAGACAATGAACACCCCTTCACTGAAAATACACTTCTCAATATCAGTCAGGATATGGAGTGAAGTGAAGGAGGTTCTCCCCTCCCAACATTACTTGGATATTGCAGATCAGTAGGACATTTAACAGTATGAACTTTCTTCTTTATGTCTTAAATGTTCTCCTGGCTTTGACCTGTCTTTTTTATGAGCAGTGGCCAGGTCGGTGTGACAGTAGGAGAGGGCACTAGCACTCATCAGATTCTTGATGGTTCCCTAAATCCCAGTTGGCCCTTGTGCAGCCATACAGTGTGCACATATTGTGCATCTACCATGGGTCTAATACATCTACTAACCCTTCCCTATCTATCCAAGCACAATAAAAAGTTAAATTATGCTTGAGGACACTCCTGAGTTTAGTGAACTTTACTAAACCACCTGCTGTAAACATTTATTTTTATATGGCAGAAAAATTGTCATCTTTTATTATTATACTGTCAAACCACAATGTTATACTTTCCAGTAGACATGTGCGATTCGTTTTGTTCTGAATCGAAATTCGGACAAAGTTTCGGAAAATTCGTAGATTCGGAGCATCCGAATTTCCGAAATATAACATATCCAAAATCATGCGAAAGCATCTGAATCTGAAATTTCAAATCCGAAATTTTGGATTTGGAACAAATTTCATCCACATCTTGTGCGTGTACTGTTAACATTTAAACGGATAAAAACAAATTAAGAAAAGGATTTCAATGTCCCTTTAATAGTAAAGACTTGACAGCAGCTCCTGAGGCTGTCCTTCTGTGCTGCCTCTGTGTGTTGCCACCTGCAGCGTCCTAACATTGGTTAATAGAGGAACACATGCACAGTGGTGGAACGACTGAGCTATGTAGTCCCAAGAACAGTCATCATGTGACTTTGCGTTACTTGTTGAGTACACACTCCATGACCAGAAGTGCGGAGGGAAGTCTGTCACATGTATGTGTTAGAATGTGTGACTGAAAACAAGGAAAGGCTTTATAATTACCTTTTGCTTTATGTAGCACAGCACAGACATAATCTATTCCCTTCCCTGATGTTTACCAATAACTCACCTCGATCAAAGGACATTTTTACATCTTCAATGTGCTCTGTAAAACCGGAAACTCTGTACAGACCTTCTGATGTCAAGCCTATGAAGCAGAGAGGAAACAATTGCAATAAAACAACTTACATTGCTGTATTTTAACAGAAATGTCCTGTGCAAAATTTCTTATTCCCTATCTGAATGACCAAAATTGTAATTTTTCCTTAGATGAAATTTAAGGGAAATGCATTGGAATTTTTGCAGCATATACACGCTCACAATGAATAAATAAATATATATATATTTATAATATATATTACTAGATGTAAGGAGCACCAACCTCATTTATACTACAAAGCATTTTCACTGAATGGTTACATGATGGCAAAATATTCATTGCACTTCTTTACAAAGGATCCACAGTCCCTCTCCTGAGAAGAACACTTCTTTTTACTTAGAATCACTATCACAGGCCTCTATAGTCACTGATTACAAGGGAAGGGGGGTGAGTTATAAAACTAGAACATGGTAAATAGACAGTTTCTGCACTGAGATGAAAAATTGGAGTTTTGCTATTTATTTAATGCACACAAATGTATTATAGAGAATGCATACTTCAGAATATATTGCACACAGCACAGAGACTGTCCTGGAAGAGGATTGGATACTGGTTGTTGTGGAACAGTACAGGCAGTTCTTATTTAAAAAATGATGGTGTATTGCAAGATTAAGATACATGCATTCAAGAGTTCTCTTTTAAAAGAAGCATCCCGGCTACTTTCCACTGATCATGTGGACTGCACAACATACTGCTCGTAACATTATCTCTCACAACTTTTCTTTGTCTGGAAGAACATACGGTATTCATCTTCCTTTAAACAGGGTTTCTCTTCAAAACATAACGTGTAGATTTGTAGAGATAAACTCCTTTATAACAGCATTTGATTACGATCTGCATTTATATTGATGGTAAAGTGGAAAGGTCCACATTAGCAATCTCTTCCACACAGGCATCAGTAGCCCAACAAAAGGCTTATCGGGATCTCTCAGACAATTATAGGTTCAGAAAGGTGTTTCTCTTATACTGCCTGCTCACAACGCTCTGTAATGAAGGTGGCTGTTGCCTCAAAGGCAAAGGTCTATGTTTAATAAGAGAACAGCATGACAGTTATAATTGGGTTTATTTGTGATAATCCTGGCCCATCCATCTCGGGGGGGGGAAAAATAAAGTCCTGGGCCCGCCGGCGGGGGGGGGGGGGGGGGGGGAGAGAGATGAAGATCACGCAGCCTGGGAGAATGGTGTTTAATCCAAACAAGTAATGAACAGGAATAAATGGCCTACCTCTCTGCTCAATCTCCTGGATGCACATGTCCACTACCATGGGCCTTGGGGTATTGTGTGCTTTCACCAGGGTGGTAAGGTCGCAGCTGTATACTTTCTTGATGCGCTTCAGATCTGGCTGGCAGTCACTGGGCACGTATTTAGAACACTGTTTATGTACATTCAATCCGCAGTCTAAAAGGGAACAAATACAAGCAGTGAATACAAAACACATTCAAAAAGTTGCCACGTCAGAGTAACAATAATTATCAAACTTTAGCTAAACCCAGCCTAACTACCATCAACCAGGGGTGCCAATTAGGCTAACCTGTTACTTACCCTGCATGGGCAAAACACAAGTTAATTTTAAAGAAAACCTTTCCAAAAAGACATGGAGGCTGCCATTTTAGACTTTTTATTCTAACAAATGCTAGCTGTCTGCAAGTCATTCTGACCCTCTGGCTTTAATACCTTCAATCACTTACCCAGCACAAGTATGCAGATAAAAACTTCTGACTACTCTGACCTTTCTGATTTTTATATTTTGCATACAGTGGGGTTGGTTTACTAAAGACAAATAAGCTGTTTAATTTGCAAAGGTGCAAAGTGAATGTGGTGAAAATGTACTTTGCAAAGAGTACCCAATCATGTAAAAGGAAAATTTAAAAAAACACAGTATTTTTGCTTGTATGTGATTAGATGATGGAAGTCATCCCAGCTTATTCTTTTATTTGACCCAGGTCTGGTAGATGCATTACTAATTCCCAATAAATCCCATTGAGTCAGGTCAGTGACTCAAAAATATGGAAGCCAGATCGTCAGCAGAACTGGAAATATATGCAGAATCCATATTTCCCTAGCACATGTTTATTCTAAGTATTCTTAGAATTATTAGAAGTTATTAGATTAGCATTATTAGAAGTGTTCTAAGAAAATATTTTTTCATCACTTTGTATGGTGACAATAAACATATTTTTCCTATTTTTTCCAAACTTGTACATATAACACCAACATAAATGTAGAAAACTATGGACCACATACTGATTTTCCCCATTAGAGGTCCCTGTCCACAAGTATTAGTAATAACAGCTATAAAGAATTCTAAATGGACGTGGGTCCGTACATGGGAAATATGTGACAACACAGCAATATGATTCATGATAAGTCAACCATTTCCACATCATGTAGGTTGAAACATAAATAAGACAAGGCTGACCCGACAGCTTGATGCTCATCTGAGCTGGCAACACATCACAGTTAATGATTTTTCAGCAAATAAATTGTGTTCCTTTTCACATTACATGTGGGTCCGCTCTAAACTTGGCCTTAATGTGGGAGCTGTTGAGAAATTTCCGTGCTATTTTTGAAGTCAGATCAGGATTTTATATAGACGCCAAAGATAGAAACAAGAACTGTTTGACTCCAAGTGGAAATTCTCATGAATGTTTCCAAGTATAAATACTTTGTCTGGAAGAATGTATATTTGTTATGTCTAGTGTGCACTGACAGCTAATGACAGTCATATTTCATACATTAATACAGTACTACTGTTATGTGGAACTCCAATAAACACTGATCATTTTTTTCTGCAATTTAAAAATGCCAAAAACACATTAAACAACCTTACACTTTGTATATTGCTATACCCCTGACTATTGTATGAATGTAGGAAGCAAATAAGGTGTATCTTAACCAAAAGAAACCCCCAAAAAACTTGCATCTTGGTGCCAGGAACACATTTCTTGAGGATGGAAACACTCACTCACTGTACTGTATGGTGGAGCAGCCTAGGAGAGATCTGCAGAACCCCTCCCCTATTTCTATCATCCAAACCATAAGGGAAGTATTTTGTAAACCACAGAGACACCTGGTAACAATATAACTGATAAGAGTGCTGCAGAGAGCACCTGATGTTATCAGCAAACAAGATTTCTGGAAAGTTCAACACGTAATTTGTGGACTTATTGAAAATGCTTACAATGAATATTTAGCAGGCCATACGGGTACAAACAAAATAAGTTAATTGTTAGGGTTCATATACACTTTATGGGCTTTGTTTTCTGTATGTCAGAAAATATTTTTTCAGATTTGGATAATTTAAAGGAACCAATCACAAGTAAAGGAGCTGCTATTGCTGACTTTCACCCTGAAGCTTGCCTCGTTATTTGGTGAGTCATTGGGGTTGATTTACTAACCTTATAAACACACCACGAACGTGTATACACCTCTGCAGTGTGTTCCCTCCCAGCATGATCTATGGGTGGAATCTAAACACCTTTGTAATGTGTACACACCCAGCAGGTGTGTTGTGCAAAGCCCTGAATGAATTCCAAGGTGATGTTGGGTAAATTAGCTCTATGTTGTGTTGCTTGCGTTGATGAATGCAAGGAATGTAAATGCATAAGCTAACCATTTTTGTCTAAACTGTGAAGCAGCATTATATATGCATCATGTGCATGATTTTTCCATATATGGCATTAGTGGAAATATGCTTTTAGAGACTTTTTGGTTGATAAATACGTTTTGCTGTGTGAAATCACACACACCTGGTGTGTGTGTTTAGG